CTCTAATTTACCTCACATTAAATGGACACTATAGTCCCCAGAACCACTGCAGCTTAATAAAGTTGTTCTGGTGTCTATAGTTTGTCCCTGCAGGCTTTTTAATGTAAACACACACTGTGTGCAGCAGTGGCACTAGTTCATATGGCAGATCATATGGGTGGGGCATTGCAATGTCCCGGGGGGGGGCGGCAAATCTTTATTTTGCCTAGGGCGGCAAAAATCCTTGCACCGGCCCTGCAGACAGGAGCTGGAGGAGGAGTGGATTCCCTGAAGTCCTTCCCTGCAGCCTGTTAGGTGGAGGAGCAGGGATTTCTTCTTGCTGCACCTCCATCTGCAGCAGGAACAACAGCTGGTAAGGGCAGTGTTAAGCACCTGCTCACGGATTGGCTCCGCCTCCAAATGTCAATAGCTCCGCCCCTTCTTCCTTCCGTGCGGCCAGTTCAGCTTGCTGATCTCTCCATGTGAGCTGTGCGACACCCCATGGAACGCAGCTCACACATCCCACATTAGCCTTCAGACCAGGGTCATGGCACCCCTCTACCAGGTGGCACCCGGAGCAGACCGCCCCCCCCCCTTAGTCCGCCACTGGCAAGACGACAAAGAAAGAGAATAGGAGGATGCACAAAGATAGTTAATGAGTATTATAGTGGAATACTGTCTATAATTGAATGGGCAACAATCATTAAAATTTTATTTTATTTTTTTATTGAAATTTTTAAATATAAAACACAAAGGACAAAACAATACATTGATACAATAGACATAATAAATATAAGGTCGGTCACATAATACGTATTAATGTTTTATCATTTTTAACAATGGACTGAGTATGTGGTCAATCTATATTTAGAACTTAGGATAGTACATATAAACAAAACATGAAACACAAACCAATTTATAAGAAATAACACAGGACATAAAATGAATTCTATAAGGTGCCAAGAGAGAAAAGCAAGCTACAATGTTTTGAACAGCCAACTTATTGGCTATAACAGACTGGAATTGATACCGATATATATTGCATCCAGGTTTTCGAAAATATTTAGGATCCTTTCCAGGAGTATAAATAGTATATTTATATTTACTACTGTGTTTTCTTAGTTCTATTAAGTACCACCATATCTCAATATGTTTTAACTATCACTTATTTGTTTCCAGACACATATGACACGTCATGAGGATGCATTTTTATTCTGGTTTTCACTTAATCCACTAAGAAATGGTTTCATATTGACCTGAAATATAAGTTGATTTTTTAACTAATATCCATTTTCCATTGTTTTGAAATCACTTTTTTTGTTGCTAAAAATAGATGGGTTTAAGATCGATTTATTAAAAAAAGACATAGAGGGCCACTTAAGATGAAGTAAGACAGCCTCTGGATGATTTCGCTATTTTCAAAATTTCAAACTGATGAAAGGAAGTGATATGTTTTTCACATAGATCTTTTCTCTTAACACCTTTCCACCAGATATGAAGATAGGTACCTCTAGTTAATCTACATAAACTGATTTAAGGCCATATATATATATATATAAAAACTCACGATTCAATCATGAAAAATGTCCTTATTGCCAAATGAGAACATTGACATAAATCCACAGTTTACTCTATCAAAGGCAACTAAAACTATGAAGGTAAAAAGAATTGAGTTGTTTTTAATTCCTTGAACACTATTTAATAACTTCCATACATTACCTCTGCCCATTCTGTTTATTTTAAAGCCTGGTTGATCTAAATGTATTAACTTGGGAATGGTAATTTTTTTTGGTCTAACTGCCAGGATCCTAGAGAAAATCTTGTTATCGAAAAAAAAAACTGCAGTGAGTCCATCTGAACCTGGGCCCTTCCCTGTTTGGAGAATTTATTTTTCTCTTTTCCTTTCTTTTATCAAACATACATAAATAAACTAGTACATAACGTTAGACATATCTACAGTGCACTACCGTGCTCAGATGTACTTCAATATATCAATACATCTATATTTCCTAAAGATGATACCATACACAAAAAAATCACACAAAAAAATAGCTCTTGATCGAGGGGATTGAGGGAGGAGAGGGGAGAGTTTTGTGCATTTTTCTTAGACTTCCCTTACATTTATAAGGTGTTTCATTATAGCATATTGATTTTTCTTATTGATTCATCCCAAAAACCAGTATATCGAAGTATTTTATTATTAGGAGTTGGAATGTGTTTTTCCATATTTTGTTGATGACATAATTGATATTTAATTAAATGAATTGATTAATTAATTAACATGGCTACCAGAAAGATTGCTCTTGAACAGAAATTAACAACAAAAAAAGAGATAAAAGAGATATCAAACAAGACAAAACATTTTCAACAATCCCCAATCCAAAGAGTTCAAAGACAACACACCTAGAGAATCATTATCCAATTCAGAACTACCCCTTATGGAAATGAGCTAAGATAACGAAGAAGTTACAATTAAAGTACTCAACACAAGTTTACAATCAATACTAGAGGAAATTAAAAAGGAAATCTTATCAAATTCCATGGAAATGAGACAAGAAATTAAAAGTGACAGAGCAAAATCAACAAATAAATTATCAATTATGGAAGATCGAATGGGAAACGTTGATTTTCAGATTAAAACGAAGATGTAACAAAAATGACAACAAAAAATGACAACAAAAATTACTTATCTTGAAAACAAAATTGAAGATCTTGAAGATCTTGAAGATTTTCGTAATTTTAAAGATACAGCAAACAAGATGATATGTGAATATTGTTACAAGATTACTTTAAAGCGCTGGGCCTCACTTTAAATGGATATGACGATAAAATCGGCATGTGCCATAGGTTAAATAAACCATCAAACATAGCCCCAGAGACACCCAGAGATATAATTGCTTGTTTTCATTCCTATGAATTTAAAGAAAAAGTATTAAAAGCCAACAGAGAAAAAGTTATTAAGGAGGGGCTATATTCTAATATTATAGTACTCCTGGACCTATCTTATAATACTAGAATCAAAAGAAGATCATTTGCACCAGAAATTAACATCCTTAAAAAGCACAACATAAGATTTAGATGGAGCTTCCCAACTAAGATGATCATTCAAACTGACGGTATATCGGAGACCTTTGATCACCCAGACAAGATAAAGAATTGGCTGGAAAAAAAAATATTAAGCTTAAGTTCCTTTTATTAAAAAGACACATCAAGGGACAATGTACCAAATGGGCTATATACAGAAGAATAGAAGATGAAGAAAGGACGAAAAAGAGAGAGAGAAAAGAGAATTTAAATAACAAGGAAATAAGAACTGACAGTCTGGGAACATAAAGATGGAAAGCAACTGAATAAGATTTGACAAAGAATTTATACCTTTAAATGAAGAGGGTTGGGGGGAGGGAGTGAGCACTGAAAAGAAATCATGCTGTTATGGGTATTGATGTCCCGAACGGTTCGCCACGGACGGCGAACATAAACATAAACTTTGACCCTGTACCTCACAGTCAGCAGACACATTCCAGCCAATCAGCAGCAGACCCTCCCTCCCAGATCCTCCCACCTCCTGGACAGCTCACTAAGAATGCAACTTCACAATGAATGTAAAACGGATGCTGTCCAGGAGGTGGGAGGGTCTGGGAGGGAGGGTCTGCTGCTGATTGGCTGGAATTAGTTAGATTTGATGTACATGTTTATCATTGTAGGGGGACAGGACGGAAGTCACAACTGGCTACAGTCAGTCTTACTAGGTCCTCCATATTTTATAAATGGTTATGTAATACAGGTAACTTATCTGCGTACAGCTATCTTCTGGTCTACTCATTGTACAAAGATAGGAAAACCCATTTATATTGCGATTGGCCAATATTGGCCTGCTGGACAATTGAAGTGATATAACTGAAAATGCAAACCTGCTATAGTTAAATCCAATGTAAATATTTGTTATTATGTAGGGGCAGTACAGGAGTCGCAACCACAATCAGACTTACCTGATCTACCATATCTTGTATATCATTAAGAAGTATGAGGGAGTTCACTATATACAACTTAGCGACAGTCCTTTTGTATGCAAACCTAAGAAATTCTGCAACCTACAGTACTGATTAAGAATAGCAAATTCTAAATTAATGTTTATAGTAGTGTGGGGGCAAGGGGGAGATGGGGAAGTTACCACTGCCCACTGTCAGTTAGGACAAATCCGCCATGTCTTATAATTAATTATAAAGTACGGGAGACTTTCTTACTGTTATGAGTCAATTATCTTTAGACAGAGAATTTGTGGAACACAACTGCAGAGTTAATTGTTAGTACTATACCTTTAATAAAAACAAGGAGAACTTTCAATATAGTTTCTTAAAGAGGTTTTATTATCTCTTATTGTATCTGTTGAAAACAATCTGTCTCTTTCTTCCAGATTAGTATCAAGGAAGAGAGAAAACGTAATGCAATAATAAAGTCCTCTTTAATATTAATCTATTCCAAGTATCAATTAATAATTAGAGAAAATGAATGGCTATTAGGCATTGCTTTTTCCTATGTGCAGGTTGCTGGAAATTGTTAAATTAATCTGTATGTTGAAGCAATGTTTAAACTTTTTTACAGGTTGCAACAATATATATATATACTTGAAATGTAAAACCTCCATAATAGCAGTTTATATTAGTATTTATACTTGATTAGTAAAACATCCTTATTTGCAAGTTGTAGAATTAGTTATACTTGTTTAGTGAAACATCCTTATTTACAGACTGTAGAAATAATTATATTTGTTTAGTGAAACATCCTTATTTGCAGATTGTAGAAATAATTATATTTGTTTAGTGAAACATCCTTATTTGCAGATTGTAGAAATAATTATATTTGTTTAGTGAAACATCCTTATTTGCAGATTGTAGAAATAATTATACTTGTTTAGTGAAACCTCCTTATTTGCAGATTGTAGAAATAATTATACTTGTTTAGTGAAACATCCTTATTTGCAGGTAGTAGTAATAATAGTTAAAGTAAATGTAATTGATACTTACAGTATATACTCGAGTATAAGTCTAGTTTTTCAGCACATTTTTTGTGCTTAAAAATCCCCACTCGACTTATACTCGAGTCACTGTCTGTATTATGGCAACTTAGAGAGCCGCGGCCGTCAGAGCCATGGCAACGATCCCGCGGCAACCAGACCGCGAGACTTACAGTGGAGCTGACCGGAACGGAGGAGAAGGCAGCTGGCAGGAGCTGCAGGAGAGGTAAGTAAATGCTTCCTGCCGGCCCCCCACTTCACAGCCCATGCCACTGGACCACCAGGGATTAAGATAGTCCCCCTCCCTGACCAGTTAACAAGCAGGGAGGGGGGACAAAAAAAATTAAAATAATAAAAAAAAAATAATATTAAAATAAAAAAAAATTTAAATAATAAAAATGCCCTCCCCCCAACCAGTTCACACACACTACACAAACACACACTCTGCATTATATACACAGAGTGTTTGTATATAATGCAGAGTGTGTGTTTGTATGAGTGTGTGTGTGTATATAATGCAGAGTGTGTTTGTATGAGTGTGTGTGTATAATGCAGAGTGTATGTTTGTATGAGTGTGTGTGTATAATGCAGAGTGTATGTTTGTATGAGTGTGTGTGTGTGTGTGTGTGTATATATAATGCAGAGTGTGTGTTTGTATAAGTGTGTGTGTTTAATGCAGAGTGTGTGTTTGTATGAGTGTGTGCGTATATAATTATAAAAATCACAGAATTTCATAGCCCCACGTTTTACCCTCGACTTATCCACGAGGCATAGCATATTTCACAATTGTTGGTCACAAAACTGCACTCGACTTATACATGAGATCGACTTATACACGAGTATATACGGTAAGGTTTCTCCAGAGCGTCCTGTACTTGTAGCAGAGATGGTAAAATCCGCAAGTAGTTGAATAGTTTATCAGAAGATACAGGAATCCTTGTAAATTACAGCTACTGTAGTGAAGAGATGAAAGTAGTTTTCAGCAGCGATACAAGAAGGCTCAGCGAGAAGACGGAGGTCGGTTCAAAATAACTCAGCAATCTGAGTTTGGCACAGCTTGCCTAAAAGGCAATTGGCAATTGAATAGAGCGTCATCATGAGGGGAGGGGCTTACTTCCAAATGCGGAAGTAAACTTTGCGAAACGGAATCACGGCAATTACATGACAGGACCCCCTCTCAAGGGAGCACCCTCAGGGTGCTGTTAACAGGGTTTTTGAGGATATCGTTTCTGAAATGCAGAGACCTTTCTAGGGGCATGAACATCGGTTGCCTTTTCCCAGGTATCATCTTCACTTGAATAGCCCTTACATCTAATCAGAAACTGTAATGAACCATGATGATAACGTGAATCAAAAATTCTTTGGACTTCATATTCATCTTGACCATCAACGGAGATGGGATCAGGATTTCTTAGGAAGTTTCTGAAGAAAGGGTCAGACTTGTGGGGTTTAAGTAAGGACACATGGAATACAGGATGTAAGTTAACCGAAGGAAGAAGTGTAAGTTTGACTACAGAGTAGTTTATAATTCTTTCAATAAGAAAAGGCACAAGCGCTTAATTTTTTCGAAGGACGATTAGATTTAAAGGGACACTATAGTTACCTGAACAACTTTAGCTTAATGAAGCAGTTTTAGTGTAAAGAACATGCCCCTGCAGCCTCACTGCTCAATCCTCTGCCATTTAGGAGTTAATCCCTTTGTTTATGAACCCTAGTCACACCTCCCTGCATGTGACTTGAACAGCCTTCCATAAACACTTCCTGTAGAGAGAGCCCTATTTAGGCTCTTTATTGCAAGTTTTGTTTAATTAAGATTTTCTTATCCCCTGCTATGTTAATAGCTTGCTAGACCCTGCAAGAGCCTCCTGTACGTGATTAAAGTTCAATTTAGAGATTGAGATACAGTTATTTAAGGTAAATTACATCTGTTTGAAAGTGAAACCAGTTTTTTTTTCATGCAGGCTCTGTCAATCATAGCCAGGGGAGGTGTGGCTAGGGCTGCATACACAGAAACAAAGTGATTTAACTGCTAAATGACAGTGAATTGAGCAGTGAAATTGCAGGGGAATGATCTATACACTAAAACTGCTTTATTTAGCTAAAGTAATTAAGGTGACTATAGTGTTCCTTTAATGTTTTTTGAAGAAAGCCAAATCATCAATTTTGTAAGGTGGAGAGGGTCTCCTTTTGGTGTTTCTAGATTTTTTGTGAGCAATCAAAGATTTTTCAAGATTATGTTTCAATTGACCAAAAAGAGATTGAATCTCGCAGCGTCTATCTTTAACGGCAGGGTTATGGTTTCAAATGATATCTGATGGAAATACTCGTGGATGGAACACATAATTTGCAAAAAAAGGAGACCTCTTCGTAGTTGAATGGAGGGTGTTGTAAGAAAATTCTGCAAGGGGCAACCAATTTAACCAATCATCCTGTAGATATGTGCAATAACATCTTAAATATTGTTCTAGACACTGATTAACTCTTTCCGTTTGTCCATTTGTTTAAGGATGGTATGCTGAAGATAATTTCTGTTTTATTTGATAAGCACATAACTCTTTCCAGAAATGAGAGGTTAATTGAGTTCCTCTATCAGTAATAACTTCTTCAGGTAATCCATGTAGCTTAACCATATTGGAAATGAAACATCCAGATAATTCAGAAGATGTGGGTAACTTAGATAATGATACAAAATGTGCCATCTTGGTAAAACTATCAACTATGACAAGGATAGTGGTAAACTTATTAGATGGAGGTAATTCAACTATAAAGTCCATGGAAATTGATCTCCATGGTCCATCCGGAATAGGAAGATTCCTTAAGAGACCATAAGGGTGATGAAGGTCGGGTTTGGATTTTTGACAAATTCCACATAATGTTACATAAGATGAAATAGTTTTATGGTTTTGAAGCCACCAATACAATCTATTTAGTAATTCCGATGTTTTCAATATACCTGGATGTCCAGCAAAAGGAGAATCATTCTTAAGACTTCTTTCTTTAACGATGGGGGAATATATATTTTATCTCCCATGTAGTAAAGACCATTTCTTTTTCATAAACAGGGTTGAGTTGGCAGTTCCAATCTAGAAGAAGGTATTCTTTTTATTCTGTCTAATAAAGTATATGAAATTTGGAGTTATCCATTTGTATCTGCTGAGGGTATATCACATAACCAAGAAAAGAAAGTTGAGAAACCTCAAATAAAGAAGCTATGTGTTCCAAGTCTGGATAAGACCCATCTGACATGTTTACAATAATCAAGAATATTGTTTGAGTAGATCAAAATATCATCTAAATAAATCATTATGCAATAATCCGATAAATCTTTAAAAATATCTTTAATGAAATGTTGAAAAGTTGCAGGGGCATTACAAAGCCCAAAAGGCATGACACGATATTCAATTAAGCCATATCTTGTACAGAAGGCTGTCTTCCATTTGTGTCCCTTTTTGATGCGTATTAAATTATAAGTACCTCTCAAATCGATTTTGGTGTAGATCTTGGAAGTTCTTAATCTTTCAATTAGTTCAGGAATCAAAGGTAGGGGTAGGGGATAGCGGTTTTTAATGGTTCTTTTATTTAGTTCTCTGTAATCAATAATGGGTCTTATAGTTTTATCCTTGTTTCTAACAAAGAACATCCCTGAAGCAGGAGGAGAGGTGGAAGTTCTTATAAACCCTTTACGTATATTGTCTCCTAAGTACTCTCTTAAGATCTTTAATTCAGCCTTCGATAGAGGATAAATACGGCCAAATGGTACACTTGATCCAGGAATCAGATCAATGGGGCAGTCATAAATTCTATGAGGAGGAAGAGTCTCAGCTTCTTTTTTGTTGAAGACATCGTTAAACTCCATATCAGGGATAGAAACATCTTCGGTAGTTTGAAATATACTTTTTAAAATAAAGCTACCTTTATATGAAAATTTAAGGTATTTTTTTTTGCGGCCCACATAAACTTAAACCTTGTTTATGTGGCCCGTGCCAGAATTTGAGTTTGACATGCTTGGTATAAGGCTAGTGCAAAAGCCATAACATTATATATATATATATAATGTTGTAATTATGGTACAGAAAGGAAAAGTATGTGGTTAATACATGCAGTAGGCCATACAACGGTGTTTGGCTTGTTCACAGTTTGTCAAAGTTTTTTTTTTTTTTTTTTAAACAATGGCATTCTGGCATATTCATGGCCTGATCTACATTTATAGTTCTATATTTGGTACATCTGACCAGTGGTCTATAGTGACAGTAGAAATGGTACATAGTGGGTTTGTAATTAGTTTGTTTTTTGTGGTTTCATTAAAAAATAGTTTTTCAAAGAAGGTCATTTGTGCTATAGCTGCTGCCTTGACTGCTGCGCTTTGTGCAAAGTCCCTAATTTGTAAATATCTAAAGTAATCCTGTGATTTGAGTGGGGCTACGGCGTTTAGATGCTTGTAAGTGACTATATCCTGATTAACATATAGGTGAACATATCTTTGTAATCCCATCGTCTCTATCCCTCCATAATCTCTAGCCTTCATCCCTGGCGGGAAAGCTCTGTTCCTAAACACTGGAGTCATAGGGGACGGGATGTCACTCAGGAAGTATTTCTGTTGTGATTAGTCCCATAAGTGTATGGAGATGAGGAAAGTGAGGGTTTGTGTTCCTCAGGATGGCTCGAAGGGTCCTTGGAACCCATTTATAGAACTGGAGAAGATCTATCCCTGTCATCAGGGATTCCAGGTCTACCCAGCATCTTTTGTTGGAGGGTATGTACCACTGTATAATCTGGGTAAATTGTGCTGCCAAATAATACTGGTAGAGGTGGGGTAGGCTCTTGGTTTTGGGCAGTTCAAGAGGCTGCAATCTTGGGCGTTTATTTTGCCATATAAATGTATCAATTGCCTTTTGTATTCCAGTTAGATCTCCCCCGGTAACTCTCACTGGTAGTGATTGAAATAAAAATAATAACGGTGGTAGGATGTTCATTTTAATTGGATGTATGCACCCCAACCAGGAAATAGGTCTATCTGTCCACTGGCCTAACTCTCTGGTGAAGGTTTGGAACTGTAATGATATTGATGTTACAAAGTTTTGGAGTCCAGTAGCCAGATCAGCAATGTTTTCTGCCAGAGGTAGCCACTCGTTGTTGGTATCAGATCTCAGATAAATTTGCAAAAGGCAGGCTGGTGTACTGGTAAGGAAGAGGTTTAGCACCATGTAAACTGGGGTTCAAAACCCAGCAGAGTCAGTTCCTCACATTACCTCCACCTCTACAGGCGCAGCCTCTGGATGCCCTATTTCCTGGTTTAGCAGGGTACTGTGCATGGAAAGACTGAAGAAGATCAGGAGTGTGAATATTGTCCACTGGTTCCCACGATCTATCCTCCTCACCATAGCCTTTCCAATGAACCAAATATTGAAGCTTGTTGAGGAAGATCCTGGAGTCAAGAATTTTTTCCACCTCGTATTCATCTTCACCATCCACGAGGACTGGTGGTGGGGCAGGCAGGGCTCGACCAGGGAAAGTATTTTCATGAAAAGGTTTAAGCAGTGCCACATGAAACACCGGATGTATTTTCATGGAATCCGGAAGTTGCAGACGGAAGGTGACTGCATTGATCTGAGCGATGATCTCAAAAGGTCCCATAAACTTTTGACCCAATTTATGAGAAGGAATCCTAAGCTTAAGATTCTTTGTTGACAGCCAAACCTTGTCACCAACATGATAAACTGGGGCCTCCTTTCTGTGCCTATCAGCAGCCCTTTTGTAACATTCCTGAGCCTCCAAAAGAGTCTCCTTCAACAGTTCTTGGGAATCTCGTAAGGCGGTTAGCCGGTCAGTGACTGCAGGAATGGAAGT